CAGTGTGCTCAACTGTAATTTAAAATGAATAGTTATATTTTAGAATTTTGTTTATATGATTAACGTGTGCCTGTTTTGCTTTTTTGTGCTGTGTTCCAGATAGAAAAGATTTGACAATTTATTTTTATAACTTTATTTAAAAGTTAGCTTATTAGTAATTGTTTAATTTAGCATAATTACACTTTTACTACTGTTTCACATTTGAGCAAATTTTAAAAGTGTTCTAATTTTTCTTTCTGCCCTGCCTGATACACTAAAAATAGAATATTTTTTTGAGAATATTTTTATTTTAAAAAATTGAGGGATTACTCTTGCATTAGGGGCATTTAAGTCAACAGTTTTAAAAATTCCGTGTATATTTTGTAAAATACTGTCATACTTTAACTTACAGCCTCAGATGAAATCTCTTACATAAATGCAAATTGCATTTGATTATATTTCAAAGTCATCTTCTATAACAACAAAGATGAAATTCTTAGCTTAGGGGTAGTTGAATTTCTGACCTGGGTGAAGGCACTATGGTGACTGGTTTGTATTAGAGGGTGAAATTCTTTCTTAGATGATGGAGGATGAGTTATGAGTGCATCATTGAGACAAATATTACACCTTTTGCTTTGAGGATTATATGAACTGAATCAACACAAAACTGCCTCACAAGACTGGTTTCATTAACAGTTAAAAGAAAACCACCATTGTTTTTCCCTTTTGTCCATTCTCTTCCTCTTTCTTGAAAGCCTTACACATCTTCATCTTCACCTGTTGGCTAACTAACTGTGTTCTCTCAGATACTTCCTTTGACCTAGTCAGTCCTTACTGTGGTGTACTTGCTCATGTACAAATTTAAAGACTTTCTGTCCTGTCTTGTCAGCTGTAGTTTTAAAATAAAGTCTTGTGTTTCACTTCATCATACTGTGTGCTCACAGAGGGACTTTGTCATAACTATTAAGTGCTTATGTGTGGTGGGTGATTTTATATATGTATTCATACAGTTTATGGCTACCTGAGATCTTAGGTAAGTTGATTCAGTTGTGTTAGGGACAATTCCATTAAAATGCGGATAGATAGTTTCTCCAAAAGGTTATGACTAGTGGTACAGATATAACCAGAACTAGAAGTTGGATGTCCTAATTTCTAACCTTGTTCAGTTTCCACTCTTGCTTTCTTTCTTGATGGAATATCTACCATGTATCTGGCCCACTGCTAGATCCAGATAATGCAGTGTCACGCGTGTCTTTAGGGAGGAAGATGCTAACCAATACCACATACACATACACATACACTAAAAACTGAACTAGGCCTTTAGTTTTTATGAAAGTAAGTAATGGATGCAAGGTTGCTTTGAGAAACTGACTTTGACTTGTGGGGCTTGGCATCATATTAATATATCTTTGTAATTTAAATGCATTTAAATCAGACAAATATTTCTTGTATGCTTACTTTGTACAGAGCCTCAGAAGAAGTTAGAAGTTGTCCGCCACAGCTCTTTCCATTATTGTACAGTCTACAAAAGGAATACAGTTAAAACATAACTGTTAACATTGAACAAAATATAGAAGCCCCTTGGATCAAAGGGTTCAAAGATTACAGATTAGTGTTTGTTTAGAAGGAAATCAGGAAAAGTTTATTGTGAGATGACCTATGATACAGCCACTGAATGAGTTCTTCAAAGAAGGTTGAGAAAAGAGATGGGGAAAGCATTCTAGATCCAAGAAAAAACAAAACAAAACAGCAGATAGACCAAATTAGGAAATTAGAAGAATTTAGTAATAAGAAAATAATTATCTTTTACAGAAGCAGGGTTTGTCTGTGTGTCGTTATTTTATACACCATTGAGAACATTGTCTTTATTTAAATATCCTGAGAGCCAACTGGAAATTCAAATATTCTGTCTTATTCATAACTTTTGTTTGGTTTTGGGCATAGGAACTATTGCACACTACAGCTCTAGTAGTAATTTATTCTTTAATTGCCTGGCATCTCATTGAGTGTTAGTGTCTTGAAACCATTACACAGAAAATAAGCTGCTTTAGAATAAAAAACTGAACTTATTGTCACTGACATGGCTGTGGTAGCCTAGTGAGTATCAAATTCATGTTACGGGGCCGGGGATTTAGCTCAGTAGTTCTGCTGCCTGCCTTGCAAGCACAAGGACCCAAGTTCGATCCCTGGTTTTAAAAAAAAAAAAAATTCATGTTACAAACACTTCTTATAGTAACTTGTGTCACCATGGAGCTTTATTCCAATTCAGAAAGGGGTCCACCATTTTTCCTTGTACATTGAATAGTTTGTCTAAATATTGTGGTAAAGTGCCGAAAGATTATTTACTCAGCAAGCATACATTAACCAGTCCCCAACAGTTCTTCCTGCTGTGTTCCAGGGTCTGTGCAGGAACTCAGTGTTACTGGTCAGAAAGTGGAGAAGTATCTTTTAGAACACATGGTACAAATGAATGACTTCTGATTTATTTTATATTATTTATATTATTTAAAATATAATATAGAGATTATATGTTGAATATATATATTTATTTATTTAATTTATCTTTTTTATAGTTGGCTAGATTTAAAATTAAGGATATTTTAAAGAAAAAAGTTTTCAATTTTGTCCTCCCCTAAAAAGAATTATAGAGGATCTGGCTACAATGGGCCTGCCTTGCTAATAGCAGCAGTTCTTTGGAGCTGTGTAGCAGCTGCCCTCTTGGACTGGGGTATGTATTTCCCAGTGTGTGATGGGGCCCATCACAATCTTTATTGTATCTAGCCTCTACTTGTTTCTTTGGTTTCCTAGACCTTAAGAACATCTAATGGCCCTTACTTACCAGGGATTGTTGCCATCATGGGTCTCTTTGGTCTCTATCAGCAATGTGTGGCCTCATAGGCAGTTGATTTTGTTCATAATACCTTGTTTCTATGTAGTACTTTATTAGAATCATCTGGCAGTCTTCTTCAAAGAGGGATTGCTGGGCCTTATTCTTAGAAGTTGTGATTCTGTAGGTCTGAGGTGTGATCGGTGGATGTGTATTTATTTCTAGCCAATTCCCACGTGTCACTGATGTTGCTGACTTGAGAACCACTGGCAAACAGTACTGTAACTATTTGCACCAAGCTGCATTAGTTTGGGACTGCTATGTGTGAGTAGAAATAACATCTGTAAAGATCAAGCTCCTTACCTAGGGATGTAGGAAATGGGGTCTGGTTCCAGACCAGGACTTTAAATGAAATCCAGCAGCAAACTATTCTTTATACATACTAGGAGTCTAATTGAGAATTCTGCTGAGTGTGATCATTGTCCTATTTTAGAGCACAGAGTTAGAACGTGTTCATATTTAATGAGAAAGGCAGAAAGGGAAGGGTTGAAACTTGATTACTAGACATACCTGCTTAGGTAGGGCAGAGTGGAGAAAACCCACATACCTGGAGATGGACCAGTCCGTAGGCAGAACAGATAGGTGCGGGAGATTCAGTGTGTAATGAACAGGTGCTGCTACCCAGCCAAGCAGAGCACAGCATTAGGTCTCATTGGGGAACCACTATTTCTAAAAGGCAGTTTAGAGGGAGCTGTGATTGAACTGTGATCTATGCAGTGGGACTCAGATCACAGGTGGCTTAAGAAGACAGATTGGCTGGACTTGAATTAATTATAGAAAGCAGCTACAGGAATACATTTTCTAAGATCAGGTTGCAGAGTGGATCCTAGAGCTTGCTGGTAGATCTCCTTATAATGGTAGAGCAGAACTAATAAGAAAGGGGATTTCTTAAGTCTCAAATGTGATGAGCTTCTTAAAATCTGGGGTCAAAATTAGTCTATTGAAAAGAAACCTTTTCTACTTATGGGAAGTGAAGAAAGGTAAAGATTGGGATCCAGACAGGGCCTAACATGGATTATATTTATTAAAATTCTGTCTACTTTAATATTCTATGAAATGAATAATGTGTTCATGGTATAATCATGATAGCCATTCACTAAACTTGTTTAAAAGTTTGTATTTTTATACAAAGGACTGCTTCAAAAATTATCAGCCATCTACCTCAAATTTACAAGTTAATTAGTTATATTTATTTGCATATTTATATGTATTAAATTTGCATATATACTACATTCAGAGAAAACTAATTGGATTGGGATTATTAAATAGTGGTATATTCTGGCTGACTTGAATATTTTGTTTTTGCTTTTGAGATAGGGTCTCACCATGTAGTACAGGCCTTGCCTTAAACTCACTGTGTAATTCAGGCCAGCCTCAAACTCATGATCCTCCTGCCTCAGTTGCTGGAGTGATTGGATTACAAGCCTATTTCATGATCTGACAGAATAAATTTTTGATTACAAATAAAAGTTTTAAATATTGTTGCCATTTTTTCAAATTTCTGCCTTTCTTGCTAAATATGATATGCTAAAATATAGGTCCTTTTTCATTCTTCAGCCTGACAATGTAGGTAAGACAGATATTAGAGAAATATTTTGGGAATGAGGAGTAAAGTGGGTATTATAATTATCAGATTAAATTATTAATGTTAACTATTTCATCTGGTGGTTTTATACTCTCTCCTAAAAGTGAACTATGAAAACATCCTCATTAGTTGAGGATTTTGAGTTTCTCCTAAGATGAGCTATTGGGTGTATTTGATTATAATAAATTATAAACATAGAAAGGCTAATTATGCAATTAATAATAGTTTAGGATTATGATAATCACCTAAACACAGTGGTATTTATAGCACAATATTTTCATTGTTCTGGTGAGAAAGCAGAACAATCTTCTTTCCTCTAGTTCCCTCTAATCGACTTTAAGTAGCCTTGAAGTTTCCTTTAGAGAAAATGATTTGGGGCAAGATTTTTCCTAAGGGAAGCAAAAAACATGAAGCATTATTTTATTATGAACCATAGTGAAAAACAGTCTGTGAAGGGAGATGTTACTGGAGTTATGCACAAACCAAAGTCAATTTGAAAAGTAATGGAGAGTTGTAAAACTGCTGCTGTTTGTTATGCTTTTTAAACAGGCTCATGCACAATTAGTTCGAGAAGTTGATGTGGAGAAGGTGTCTGCTTTTGAAAATCCATACGTAGATGCAATAAAGAGTTTGTGGAACGATCCTGGAATCCAGGAATGCTATGATAGACGACGAGAATATCAGTTATCTGACTCTACCAAATAGTGAGTATCCAGCCAGGAGGCCTTCTCCATCTCTCTCTTTACTCTGATGTGAAATGTGCTGCACAGTTATAATTTATGTGATCTGTGCTGTTTATAAAGCAGTCATACTTAATAGTTATGATGTGTAGGTATTATCCTTGTGCCAAGCTACTAAATCTAGACTATATTAGAAGAGACTAGAATCGTGAGTCAGGGAAAGTATTTCTTTTATTGTTTTTTTGTTTGTTTGTTTGTTTGAAAATCAAGTGGAGGAGTCTAGGAGTCTAACCACCCCTTTTCCTCCCCCAGATTGCAAACCAGTGATTCCCAAACACACCATTATGATTTGAAATCTTGTAATAATAATTTTTATATCTTTATGTGATAAGATCTTACTCATTTGCTAGAAAACACCTACACATATTAGAAATTCCAAACAAAAATATATTTGATTATGGCTTCCTGAGACATAAAACTTCCTAGTTGTCAGTTTTCAGACCTGGAACCTTGACTGTTTTTTGAGAACCACTATTATGTTGATGGATGAGTTTTCTTTTGTGTAAAAATTGTGAGTCTGATTTTCCATGCATTCCAGAATTATTTTGTAAGCTGTCAGTCGCATTCACATATCCTGAGATTTGTGCCCTAAAGAGATCCATTCATTCTTTAGATTAAATCTTGCTTAACAGAAAGTAAAAAGTTTGGCAATCATTGCGTTAATGTAATCAGTGTAGTCAGCAACCCAGATAATGAGGCGCCTAAAAAATGCTGGATTTTAATAAAATTTGGGATGAGGTAGAGGCTAGAATTTAGCCAGATTTCTGTCTCCATTAATTGTGTTAAACCAGCATTTGCCTCTTGTTTTGATTCTGGGCAGACAGATGAATGACTGGAAAATATTCAGCAGCCAGAGGCCAGTTCATATGATAAAGTGACCCAATAGATGAGAGCAGGCCCTTGGGAAAAATGAGCCCACTGGGCTGATTGGTATCACTCAATCATGCATCAAAGACCCAAGAGCTATGTGCTTTGCTTTTCCAGTAGTTATGATTTTGCCTTTCCATACATTTATATAAGATAAGTTTTGATTCGGATGAGCCGTAGAAATGTTGCTTCTTGTATCCTTACGGTAAGTTTGAAGCACATAATCCTGACATATGACATTAAATGTTTCACTGTTTTTGAAAAGTAGCTTTACTCCGCTGTGTGCTTCTGAAACGTGTGCTGTACTCATTCCATCTCTTCCTCCTCCTCCCACATTTTCTTACTGTTCCCAGTCTCTCCTGCTGTTCTGCTCACCTCCCTTCATCTTTTCCACCCATCCCCTCTTTTTTCTTCCCTTCTTTCTTTCCTATCTCCTGAGCTCCTACTGTATGTTTCTGTGAGTACAAGATGGAAAAGGTGCATTCAGCTCTTGTCTGTTCCAAATTCTGCCCCTCCGCCTTTGCCCAGGTGTCGTCATTGGCTTCCTTCCCCGTCCTGTTCCTTTGCCATTTCACATTTCATCCCTCTTCCACGTCTCTCGGGTTTTATCTGTCCTCCCCTGGTCTTGCTCAGTGTGTCCCCATTTGTTTACTCCCCCCTTATCTTTAGTTCTCTCTACTTCTCTTCAGCTCTTTTTTACTTCTCACTTTGATACCGTGTTGCCTTCACTGAGTAGTGCTCCATTTGAAAGTTAGGTATGTATATAGATATATACTTCAAAGCTATGTTTTTACATTCTTTTACTTGTCATCATTTTCCTCCTAAAACTCTTTTTCCATTTATTTTAAATCCTGTCTCTTCTCCTCCTGACCTTTTCCATTCTTGAGTATTACCTATAATTATTATTCTTGTGGGGAGGTTTTCCTAGAGGGAGGAATCAGAGCTCTAATATCTATATGCTTAACAGGACAGGTTCCTTAGTGAGGAATCTGGTTTGCCTCCTGTCCAGGGATGAATCCTCTGAGAAATCCCTTTGCACAAAAATATGCACATTAGCTACTTTGCATTTGTTCTTGAGATAAGCCTGTACCACCTCCAGTGACATTACCCTAGGGTAGATTTGTAGATGTATAGGCATGCATGAATTTGATACTGTTTTAAGGCAGAGTTAGCTTGGACAATTTCTCTATGTCTTTGTCAGAGCTGTGATCCTCAGATTGCCACCATCTTAGAATTCTTCCAGTACAGGCTGAGTCTACCCTAGAAATAGGCTTGCTTGTAGGACACATTGTTTATGAGAGAGCCAGACCATTAGGTGGCACGTATGGCCCAGGCTGATCTAAAACTCTTGTGGTTCTTCTTTAAATAGTTCAACTTTTCCCTAATGGGATAGGAAGAAGTTGATTTCCTGAATTTCTTATGTGTAGGTATATACATCTATGGTATATACGTATATCTAATTCTTGAGCCATATTATTTTTGCTGAAATAATGTTATAACTTGTCCTTATACTCTTAGACATTTCAGTATAGATTTCTTTATAAAGTATAAAAAATTAATACATAAAATTAATAATCAGTTCTTCTTATTCTATACCCAGTTCATATTCAGATTTCCTACAATTCTTCCAAAATGTTTTCTGAAGGTGGTTGATTTTTAGTAGTAAACATTAAACTAGTTGTTTTGTCTTTTAAGGTTCTTCTAGTTGAGTCTTGTTTTGCATTTTAGTGGCTAAAAAGATTGCCCAGATTTGCCTGATAACTTCATAGTAAAAATTTAGCTTGCTCTTCTGTGCACAGATTTATTATAAACTGGAAATTTCATTAAATACTTGATCACACTCTGCGTACATGTGGTAACTGGAAAGCATTATGTGTGATGTTGTGCTTTGTCTTACCTATCATTGGAAGATTTACCACAGTATGAGGGTAGTGAACCCTTCATTGATTATAAGCTAGATTTTTTTTTCTTGAGGCCTGATTTTGTCACTCAACAATCTTCAGTTCCCAGTCAACTCTTCACGAAATGCTTTTAATTTCAATTGATGATCCTTGCCTGATTGACTAGGGTTGGCAATAAGAATGATTTTCTACCTGTGTCACTTAATTTATATCGTCAACTCTTCTGTGAAATAGAAGGTACAATATACTTACTAACGGAAAGATGTGTGTTCCAATCTTTTGTTTAAAATCAGTAATTTGTTCCATGGACTAAATAAGTAAGATGGCAATGTTATAATTTATTATGCAAGCCAGGATATTTTGAGAAAGAAGGGAGTTGCTCTTAGACTGAAACAGTAAGCATAAACTCAGAATCTCCAGAGCAGACCAGGTCATTTGGGTTAGCTTACCTAAATGAAGCCTGAAAACACTGGTTGGTTGGTTTGTTTCCATCCTTTTCTCTGGAATAGTTTATTTCAAGAAGGATGGAAACAGTTGATTTCTGCCAGTTACTTAAGGGCAGTCTGTAGAAACCGGAGTTGACTAACTGTCCCATGGTTCTAGCCTTTTCCAAGGATGTTGCAGCACTCTTGATAGACCAGGGCCCATGTAATCTAGCTGAACTGCCTCCATCCTTCCTGTGCCAGGAGGCCTGAGAAGTAGAGTTACCTTATTCTTCCCGATGTAAATTCTGGGGACTTTACTTTTTCTTTTGCCCAGTAACCTTCTCAACAGAGATAGGCCCTGTGGTGCCTCGGACCAGTCATTACTGCTGCGTTCTGAAGGTTTCTTCAGGATGGTCACAGTAAAGGCCCTGTGCCCATGGAGATACAGGTCTGAGATATTGAATATACTGATTCCTAACACTGAACTAATTTTCATAGAATAACTCAAAATAATTCCTTTCTCTGTATTCGAGAGAGCTGTTACCCCTTTTCAGACTTTTTTGTATATGATCCATAGGGATGGATCTTGAGTATTTATCTTGTCTCCTTTTCTTAATATGATGTTTCCATGTCACTGTTTTCTGTCTTTTAAATAAAAGTACACTTCACTGATGCTTTGGATTTAATTGTTTGTTCCTTCTACCTTTCTTTGTACCTAATTTCTTACTCAAAGTTACTGACCTACAGAAATCTTTCTGAAGTCAAGATCAACTTCTGAGTACTGACTGCAGTGGCAGTTCTTCAGTTTAGATTTAGAGAATATGTAGATATCAAATTCTGACTTCACAAATAATCCATGAAATAATAAATGGCTAATTTTCACTTCTGTGACCTTTGACCTCTGCAGATGAGCTGTGAATTTTCAGAACTGAAGGTATTTGGGGAATCCCCACCCCCACCCCTTTAAGGTCTGGTATCTAAAAAGCTGTGTTTTCAAAAACAACTATAGCTACTATTTACTGAACACTTATTATATATTAAATTTTATGTGGTAATTTACATGCTCTTATTTCATCTAATCCCCAGAGTCTCTCACAGTGGTACATATTTCTTATCATCTCCTTTTGGTAGAGGAAGAATTTAGGGCTTAGGAAGATTGAGTAACTCGTTTGTGGTCACACAGGTAGCAAGTGAAAAGAGTAGGTGTTTAATTCAAATTTGCTTATTCCAGATCCTGTGCTTTTAACTACTGTGAAATAAAACCTCAGCCAGGGTAGACGGATGGAAGATAAGTTACACAGAGACATAATTGATAGTTGTTAGACAGATAGATGATAACTATTAGACAAATATCTATGGGCAGCTGTTCTATAAAAAAAATCACTCACCATGTAAGATACAGGTTATTAATGTTTATCAATTTTGTCTATAGATAATTTCATAGTTATAAGGTTGAGAGGAACAATTATAAGAAATTTGCTGGAAAACACACCCAAATTTTTTTTTGGGGGGTCGTACTGGGAAACGAACTCAGGCCCTTGTGCTTGCGAGGCAGGTGGTGAAACCACTGAGCCATATGCCTGACCCCCAAAAGTTTTTTGATTGTTATCATCAGAACTTAGCTATGTTTAGCTAATTGTCAGTTATTCATATTATTATTTTTTTTCTTTTTATTGAGTTTATTTAGGTTTATAGTACAGTTACATTCATCATTAGGATCTTGTACCTGTACATTACAGGTCTTGGTTCTCATTTTTTCCCCTTGTCCCCG